CCCTTCTTGCACAGCGAACAAGACAGCACTTTCTTTTCTTGATTGCGGACGCAGAAACACTACAGTTTGAAGTGTGTCTTAATGTGTTGCAGCCTCGTCCAGCAAACGAATCCAATCGCTTGGAATTTTCCATCATTAAACCTGCTTACCGATTCCAGGGGTAGAATCCCAAGAATCCCATGTCCTAAGAGAAATGTTTGCGCTGCCAGAAATAATGGGGCGGCGAAGTTCGACGACGGGGGAGGCATTTGCACTTTCGTTGCTTCACTAGTTCCGGTTTACAAGTCTCACTCTGGTGAAACCTGTGAACTCTTGTGAAGCTGGAGCAAGCTCGTCAAGCCATCATGGTAAAACCTGTCAACTCGAGAAGAGGCTGTCTAGATGGGTCGACACGTCGATGGGAAGTAGCAAAAGTGCAAAATGCCCCCCTCGCCGAACTGCGCCCAGTGGGGCTTTGTCGGAGATAGTTCGTCGGACTACAGTAACCCAGGATGTTACCCGCGGAGTTTTTTCAAAGCTACAAATGGTACAACCCTTGTTTCAAGGCTATTTTTTCGATTTTTTTTAAACGATGAATAACGGCACTGATTGCTACAGGATGCGAAGAAGCGATTGCGACCCAGGGAATGAGGGATTTTGCCCAGGTTTAGGGGTAAATGATCTCCGTGGTGCATGACACATTTCTTCCACCGCAGAGCTCCTTACCCAGTCGCAAATAAAGTTCTTTTTCTGGTCATTTATGATGAAAAGGAAAGTGTTTGGGTATTGGAACAGTTCGGAGGCTCACCGCCCCCGTAAACTGAAATAGCGCATACTTTGCATAATCAAACACCTGAAATAACCATCAGTCATTGTCTTTTCATGTCTACAAAAACATAATTATAAAACCAGAAGGGGTAATTAAATCGCTATATGCTGCAAAATTTCGTAGCATACGTGAAATTATCATTAAAAGGGGCAAGCGAGTGGTGAAAAATTATACGAACGCATGATTAGTAGTGAATATATAGTACCAATGAGATAAAATGCTGATTTCTAGGGGCCTCACATTATGACTTACAGCTGATACCGTCACAATCAGTTGGGGCGGTACCACGAGACATGGAATAAGGCGTTTTCACCACCTATTCCTTTCTTCCCGAATCGACCATTAACCCATCAATACTGGTACGAAAAGCAGCAAAGGGCGGGAACATTTCGGCCTCCTGTCAACGCCCAGACTGTTGCGAGAAATCAGCTATGTTTGTTAAGATTCGTAGATTTCTGCCAGAGAGTCGTGCACTCGTTACGATGAGTTAAGGATCGATGAGATGATTTTTCAATTTTAAGTCAAATTGCGTTCGAACTAATGAAACATAACTTTCGAAGGATTAAGAACACCACTGGGAAATTCATTGAGATAAGTACCCTATGGGCTCCCTTTTACCTGAAACGTTGGCTTCGGCAACACTCCAGTGATCATTCTCCTTCGGCCTAGCGGCTCATTTCCAATACCTAGCTATTACGGCTGTGCGGCTCACCATATTAAACAGTGGCATACGCAATGAAGCAGCGAAATGCCCCCACCAAGCCCCGTTGCGCCAATATGTTTTTTTGAAGTTTCGTACAGAATGTCAACGTAGAAATATTTGTTATCCAAAGCACTCAATAACCTCCACTTTAGTGGCATCTTTCAGCTTTTCCGGCTCTGGAAACGTATTGAGCCATCTGTTTGTACAATGGAGTTCGACGGTTGTCATCCAGTGACATCAGCCTAAAACGAAGTTCTGTAAGAAGAAGTTCTGTTAAGAATAGAATCCATTCGCTGGCCTGCTATAGGAATGAAAGCAACACAGACATGAAATGAAAATTTCTTTGAAAATTATCGGAACACTTCCAGACACGGAGATTTACAGTCCATAAACCAGAAATTTGGAGCGCGTGGCAGCGCACTTGATTTGAACGCGGCGGCGGCTGCACTTTTAGTGGTACGATTTGGAGCAATCGCAATACTGCCTTTGTCCATTCCAAGATATAATGACAGTTGTCTCAAACGGACATAGCGCACGAGAGACGCATCCTTCGCCATGTGAACTGCGGCCACGCCCTCTCCGTCACCAGGAAATGGAGTTTAGGAGCGGAATACTGAAGAACGATCATATCAGCAACGTGCATTCTGAGACTAACAAAGCAACACCTCTCCAGAAAAACCGATGACGCCATTTCGCATTCAAAAGTTCAAATTCGAGAAGCAAAAGGACAAGTTCACGGATAATAAAAATCGAGAAATAAATTTCGGATGCAGAATTGTTCTCAGGCGTTCTGAGAAGCGAAAGGTTTCTTGCGGACGCGGCAGTTCAGCTTTTCTAGCGTTAAATTCAAATGGAACACTGGCTATTACAGAAGCGCAACTGATTTCCTTTCTCTCGATGACGGGAAAAATAACTCATCGCTTATTTCCCATGATGATTTTGGACGCTAACAACCGTTGGGAAGAGCACTGAAATAACTGCTTCTGCAAAATTGATATGTAAATCATCCTAATAGATTTACCTTTCTTGAAACTGGTTCACCCACCTGGATCTCCTACTCTCTTAGTACTTACAAGCGAAAGGGGTCTTCCAGATCAGGGAGCGCTTTCAGAGACGGATTGTTGCACGTTGTAAGGGCTCGAATAAGGACCTCAAACGCTCGCTTGATTTTTTTTTTCTGAGCGCCTCTGAGAATGTAAAAAAAGCGAAGAAATTTACTTCGACGGCTGGTTTAGGTAGCGTTCACACTTCGTCATGGCGCGCTACAATTGCAACAGCGCTTCAGTACTAATATGCGAACTGAAAAATTGGCCGCAGGCTGAAAGTACTCGGCGCGGCTGCTTGTGTTTCGAAAGACTACAAAAAATAGACATAAAAGAATACCAGAATGGGAGAAGGCAACATACAAAAAATAGACATAAAAGAATACCAGAATGGGAGAAGGCAACACCTGTCCTCCAGGTATCCCGTACTCTCTCAAAACTCAAACGGTCGACGCCGATCGATTCCCATATGCTTCTGCCTTCGCGTCTATAGCTTTGAAGAGCTGTTGCAACGGTAGCGCGACCATGGAAGTCATAGCGAAGTCTACATGTGCTTTCAACCGCCTCTATCACTTTGACTTCTGATAGTGTGGTTGGTTCTTGATCGATGGTCCTTCTCCACCACCGAATCTGACAGTTTAGGAGCCCGTTAAATGCCCCCTGCTCCCAAAGTTATCGGTGCCCAAATGTGAACGATGGAGACTAATGCTCAGCACTGCTTCTGTATAAGCCATGCACCTACCAACACCTCGCAACCGCGAATGCCGAATATTAAATGGTCTGTTCTCGATTCTCGACTACCTGGTTCAAACTGAATAGGACTGGAGGACCAGATTCTATATTCTACTCAAATGAACTAAACTTGATATCGCTTATTGTTCCAGATGAACGAAGTATAAGTCACCTTTCGTTGTCAGGGCACATCATCCGTTAGGGGACTCCCCAACGGTCGGCAGATGGGTCGTATTTATTCTGAAAATTTTCGATAGCTGTTCTTCTTGTTTACCGGACGCTATCAAAGGTGAGATTCGTTTCGAGCACTGCTGGAGGAGAGGAAGCAGGATCCTATTCGCCTTTTAGATTCTGAGAGAGGTTGTTGACTTTTCGTGGTTTTTCCTCTTCATATATACAATTATACATACCCCCCCCCTTCCCTTCGACAGGCCGATGAGGGAACTAGGGGGGGGGGAGCCGCCAAACAGAGGAGGGGTCGTATGGAACTCAACCAAAATCCCCAACTAATGATGTGCCTTGTTCGTTGTACATTAGCGTTGCGACGGTTTCGCAAGAGCGAATTTGCGTCTCTCCCTTGTTTTTATTTTCTTTTGATAGTTCAGAAAAGAGCACTAGTTTCCTGAGTTTTTTTTCTCAGTTTATCGTTTTTATTGTTTCACCAGGCATCACTGCGGTCAAGAAAATACGTTGGAGATCACTAATGGCAAAAAAAAAATTAAAAAGGGCTAGTTATGATTTTGAGATACTCCCTTTTGAAGGACCTTTGGTCGCTTTCTAAAGGAAACTGACGGCCCAAAGATGCGAAGAAAACATAAGTGAATCACGTTGCAAAACAGACACGAGGAAATCACTAACTCTTACTTGACCGCCTTGTCCAGCAAGTCGATTCCTTCCATCTGCTGTACGGCCAA